TTATCTTATCTAGTATATTGTGTAACATTCAATAGCGCAAACATAAAATTCACTTTGGTTTTTCTTGTTCAAAAGCTGCTGATGCATGAAGTTTTTTCTGCTATACAGGAAAGAAGTTGGGCAAAATAAAACTAAACATAAATAATTTGTAAAAATGTATTTTAGAAACAAATAAAATATTATTTTTATGTAACAAATTTTATATATCTAATCGAAAGATTTAATAAAGGCCTGAACTACATTCACCTCCTCGCAACTTTTAAACTAAAGTTCCTAGTTAAAGTTTTTCGTTGGTTTAATAATTAACAGAATAATTTAAAGTCCTTTTGTGCCATAGAAGTTTCACGAAATTTAACTAAGTACTGTAATATATTGAGAAATTTCGCTAGCATTAAGTTCGAAGTTATTATGCCGTAATAGATTTAATACGACTTTATACTGGGACGGCAACTTTATAATTTAGGTCAGAAGTTGGAGTCCATATAGACTAAATTAAAAATATTGTGACCAAAAGGGACTTCTCTTGCTAACTTACTTTAAAGCTCATACAGCAAAGAGAGGATTTTCGGAAAGCTGCACAATGCATAAAAGAGGAAATATTAAAAATAACATTAAGCTGGTTAGAGGTTTTAGATTTTAACTATATATACTTTGTTTTGTTGGATTTATTGAATAAAAAAAAATAACACACTGCTTTAATAGGATGTAATATTTTGCTCAAAAATTAATTTCCTTTTTTAACAAATAAACAAGTATTATTTATATAAAATTATTGGGATATCCTAGAGCTACAACATATTCTAGAGGTCATAGTAAGTCAATTGTACTCAATTTATATAGGGTGTTTCAGATTAAAACGGACACAGCTTAGAGGAAGGTAGAGTACACTTAGCTTAGTTTAAAACATCCCTATACTTAGTCTTTAATCTTATTCGTTTCTGAAATATAGGGTGTTTTATGATTTTTTCCACAATTAACGTTGGCCATTTTGTTTAAACGGCTGGAGATATTTTGATAAAATTTTGTACAAAAGATACACAAAGCCATTATTTAATTTAAAAAAATTCCAGGACCGAACTCTTTATTTTTTTATATTGCTCTTCTTAGCAAGAATATCACCCTGTATATCGCAGATAAAAGTAAATAAAGATGGTACCTAATTTGGGTAGAGTTTTAAAAATACAGAGTAAACTATTTAATTTCAATTTTGTAAATACTGATTTATAATCGCCATTATAAAAATTTACTGTAAAAAAATCAAGAGGGTGCCATTAAATACTATTACATTATTTTACTTATTGATCTACATACTATTTAAATTTATAGTAAAATTTATTAAAATCCGATATAGAGGGTGATATTGTAAGAAGAGCAATATAAGAAAAGAGAGTCCAGTCCTGAAATTTTTTAAAATTAAATTATGACTTTGATTAACCTAAGAGAGTGTAACTTTTGTACAAAATTTTATCGAAATATCTCTAGCCGACTTTAGTTTTGGCAAAATTCATAAAACACCCTATACCTATCTCAGAAACGAGTGAGATTAAATGCTAAGTATTGGAATGTTTTAAACTCAGCTAAGTGTACTCTACCTCCCCTTAAGCTGGCTTTGTTTAAATCTGAAACACACTGGATATACTTTGAAATATTTTGCTTTTGTAGTAAAATGAAATGAATACTCTCCTAACCTTATTCCAAGCTTTCGGATGTGTTTATATCCATTTTCTGAGATCTAGAATATTTGTTTAATGACAATATTATGAATTGAATGATTATCAATTAATGGGCGTATAGTTACAACTTAGTTGCTCTTGCTTTTAAAGCTTCAACTGGCATGATCGAGTCGATTCATAGCAATAAAAAGCATGTAATTTATTGCACATGAAAGCATTTCTACACTACTAAACTGCTCTTTAGCGCAGTGTACCAAACGTTCAGTTCATATTTATCTTCTACTTATTTTTTTGAAGCCTTATGCAAAAATTAAATAAAATTTTTAAAACAAAAATATGTTTTAATATTTAATATTGCTAGATAACTATAAAAATAATGGGTCATGAGTTACCCAACCATACTAGTTACATCTCTTTAAAATCACCATACCAGTTAAGGGTTAAGAAGATCACATATAGAACTGTTTGAAAGCTTCAAAATTATTAAAAAAAAATATTCTTGATTTGTATATTATTCAAAAGGATATAATTTGTCTTATAAGCACTTTTATCTACAACCACCACCAGAGTAAATTGTTTATTATGTATTGTTTTGTTTATAAGAATATGTGTCGTAAGCATAATGCAAATTTAGGCTTTCTATAAACTGTCTAGGCATTTTACAAAAAACCGGCAAAACGCGAGCATAAAATGCATTTTACATACATACACTAATTCAGGCAAATTGATGCCAAAAAAACATGAACAGAAGAATATATATCATGTTGTGACTGATTATTTTTAGACATTTTACAATTTGCCAAAAACGGTGCTATCAACACGTGAATAGATACAAAATAGGTCGACTTTATTCGATTGAATAGTACATTAGGTATTAGAACTTACCCGTTTGCAGTTTGTTATAGGGATGCGCAAAATTTTTAAAACATCGATGTTGACATCAAATGATACATCGAATACAGACTATCGATGTTGTAAAAAAATCGGAAAGAAAACATCGATTTTTGTAAACATCGATGTTTTTTTATAAACGAACAAATAAACAAGACAATGGAAAGAATTTTATTTTTATTTATTATTAATAGACTCAGAGTTAGCGGCTGCAAGGTAGTACAATCCTTCTTAGATAATAAAATATGAAATCTATGGTATGATCGTACCCATAGATCGTACCTCCCGGCTGGAGTTTTGTAAAGTGGTAGGTGGGACCATCAGGAAGTGTATGCAAGGATTTAGTTTTAAAATTCCTGCAAACAAGACGTTAGTCAACTGGAGGGCTATTTTCAAACTCGAGAGAATTCATTTATCTCAAGAGAAATGTCATACGTCAACGTAAAACCGTATTTTTAGGGCTCTTAGGGCCAGTGTGAACTCACTGACTGTTTCTCTCGGTTTATTTAGAGAGTAATAAAATCTTCCTAAGAATTTTAATCCTCGATGCCTTTAAAAACAACATTTCGACATTGACGTATGACATTTCTGATGAGAATCTTGAGAGAAATGAGTGCTCCCATACTTTGAAAATAGCCCTGAAAGGTGTAAAAAATATCGACTAAAAACATATAAAATACACACACTTGACATGACTCTTTAGCTCAGTTAAGCATTGAGCATGTAGTCAATTTTGCATTTCGCGACGCGGTTCTTCAATTCACAATAGATGCAATTTTTTAATTTTTTTTTATTTTTGAAAAATATGAAAATTAAATAAAAATACGTAATATTGCTGTTTATTAATTTTAAATACATTTTATTTAGCATAATATTAATAATAAGAATGTCCCTTTAAATGTGAAAAAGCATAAATATAAAATTAACTCGAACTTTACAAAAGTGTGGGAATATACAGTAGCCCAATTCATTATATTTCTCTACCTTGCCGAGATAAACCGATAGACGAGCTGGACTACATCAGCGAAAGGTAAAAAGTGGTAGAAAGCAGGAACAGCCAGTGTCGTCCTAATGTGTGTTTATTATTTAATTTAATGGTGGTAAATTTTAATTGTTTCTAATTTTGACTAAATTATTTATGAAACTGTGTTTGGTAAAAAATGACTAACCAATATTTTTTTGTACTTCCAATCAAAGATATTAAAAAATAAAGATTGGAAAATAATACTTAACTTCAAACCAATCTGATACTTTTAAAATATTTATCATCACAGTTTTAATTTTCTTGTGTAAACTTGTTAATTTTAAAGAAAATGTGTTATTTTGCATATATATGTATAAATATTTTTAGTTTTTTTGCAATAAAACTATGTCACTGTCGTTTGTTTCGATTATTTTGTTCAGATTAATAATGGATTTAGATTTTTAAAATAGCAAACGAACCAGAACTATTACTAATTATAAGTTCACTGACCAAATTAATTTTTATATAACCAACCTTCCTTCTCCGAAAACAACTGAATTTAATACCAAAAATGGTTTATTTTTATTTGTTTTCTTTTCGCAATATATTCAACTTAATATAGTTAGTAGATAATTTTGACACTTGCTGCGATTACAAAAGATGCCACTTTATAAGTTAAAATTAGAATAACTTTAATTATTAAAAAATGTTAAGATTAAATTTCTGATAGGAACATTGCAAAAAACACGCTTAATTAACAAATCAATTTAATTTCTACGATTAATTATATTAATTATTAGATGGAATAAATTATTATTCAAATGGGAAAAAATAATCAAAATCAAGAACTTTGACTCGATAATGAACAATATACAAATAAGTTGTTTTACTCGGGATTCACTAATTCAGGATAAATAATATTTTTATTAGTACATTTCTAATTAGGCTACCTGGCCAAATTTTAAATCAGTAAATCGAAAATAAAAAAATAAATACCTACATAATAAAAGTATTAACATTTTTAATAAAAAAAAAAATATCTCCATCTATGGGCGGCAAATCACGTAAAATTAAAAATCATCGATATTAGATAAAAAAACATCGATGTTAAATAAAAACATCGCATTAAAAAATATCGATAAAAACATCGATAATCGAAAGAGAAAAATCGATGTTTTTTTAACATCGATACATCGTGCGCATCCCTAGTTTGTTATCAGCCAGCGGTCAGTAAAAACGCACATTGCGTTGTAATTTAATATTTCACGTAACCTTTATTTTGTTGTTCATCTATTTTGATGTGTTCAAAAATATCAAAATTAGCGGAAACCGCGAAGACGTACAAATCCAGAATGAGAAACGAGATTTAGAAGTCACGAAAGCGCAATTTAATGAACAACTTTGTAGTAAAAGAGTGGAAAAAGATGTTATTAAAAAATCTAGGACGACTGACAGGCAAAAAGAAGTTACTACAGACACTAAGCATGGTAAATTAGCTGACTAAACAGGTAAGAAAAAACAAATAATAAGCTGTATCATTTATTAAGAAAATATACAATATCTATCGGTACTGATGAACATTTAGTCGTAAAACGAAGTTGTCTTGATCAACGTATTGTTTACATGATTTCCATAGAACAGTGTTCGGATGTGTTGCTAGAATCTTACCGATTCATAGGTCATGGTGTCAGGTGTCATGGTGATATTTGCATTAAAAAACATTCCTAGAAAAGCAGTAGAACCTTTTATTTCACTATGCAAGTAATGTCAGCTTAAAAAATAGCAACCTCATAAGGGATTGGTTATGCGACCAATCCTATTTAAAGATTTTAATGTTCGCAGTCAAATAGATTTGATAGATTTTTTAATCTGCTCCTGACGAAAACTATAAATGGCTTCTAATCAAGACCATGCTACAAAATTTTTGCATCTTCGCCCTTTACGTACCAAACCTACTGCAGAGTTTGGAGTATCGCACATATTGCAAAGTGACAATGGTCGGGAATTTACTGCTTCGGTAATAGAACAAATTGTTGGCTATTGGCCTGATTTCAAAATTGTTCATGGCAGGCCATGTCACCCTCAAAGCCAGGTTGTATTATAAAGAAATAATTAAGATGTTAAGACTATGCTTCGTTTCTGGATGTCCGATTACTCCTGCACAAATTTGTCCATGCGGTGGTATTTTGTACAGTCAAAACCTGCCAGATTCTGTAATTAAAGAACTTTGGATAAAAAAAGAATTTGACGATGTTATGAATCCTTTACGAACCAACAATACTGATCTGGAAATATCAGAAGATAATCGGGTTCAGAGGGTAGCATTCAACTGGACAATATGGAAGAGAATGCGTCTGAGACTATAAGTGATAAAGTAAATTCACTTGTGAGATATGTAATGCCACGATACATTCAAATTGTACAATTTTAAATTCAGGACCATCTTCAGAACTAAATACAAGGATTTGTTCACTTTGTGCAACTAAAAATAAAATTGAAATTCAGAGAAAACAATCTTACTCTGGTCAAAAAAGAGCCGCTGAAAAAATGACTGAGGCATCCAACAAAAAATTTAAGTCGATTGCAATCGGATCATATGTTTATTTAAGATATCCTAAGGTAGATAGAGGACCTCTTGATTCTAAGAATATCATTGGAAAAGTGATTGACCTGAAAAATAGCCTCTAAAGGAATTATTAAAACTATATTTTCTAGAAATGATACTCAAGAATCCTCAGTAGGTTTTGAAGATGAATTTCCTGATCGACTAATTACTCTTAGAAGGGCCGTTGCATATCAGTCACGATTCGGAGGTCAAGGCTTTCAAAAATATAGCTGTAAGGCTAGTAGTAAACACTGCAACACAAAAAATGTGCTTGTTTTAAAAATAATAATAACAATTTTTATACTTTTATATTAGTAATAGCGTAGGTACATTATTACCTATTGAATGTTAAATTATAAGAATATTTTATTATTTTTAAAGGATTTTTTTAAATGCAGTTTCATATTTCTGTTAGGTAGTTACTAAAGTCAACAGGTATATTTTTATATCATGAAGTGTTAACTGTTTATGTTTTCTTAATATAAAGATTTACTGTAATTGTATTATTTATATTTAGTGGTATTTTCGACTTTATTTTCACGTTTTGACGGCATCGTTTTCGGCAAATTGTAAAATGCCTGATAATCATTCACAACATGATCATATATTCTTCTATTCTTGGTTTTTCGGCATTGAATGTATGATAGTGGTTGTAGATAAAGTATACTACATTATTGGAGTTGTAAGAGCAATTACATGCTTGTAAAATTACTGCACTCGCTGCTGACACGGCTCGTGCGCAACTTTTCTACTCGCATGTAATTAGCTTCTTACTACTCTTGTTATGTAAAATACTATTATAAACAAGTAAGTTGAGTCTAACCTTACTATTTTTGGAACTAGAAAATTTAGTATATTTTATACCTATAAGCAGAGGTTAGCCATGTTATAACTTGACTACTTTTTGTACCTACCACTTATTATTAATTGCTCTTGCCAGTTTATTGGTTATTTAAAGGCAATTTCAGACCAGTTTTCTTGGGGTTCGATTTGGGCAAGGAAGCAGAAGATGATAATGGTATCCGGGGCAATAGAAGTAGACGATCCAAGAGCTAGTGGATCAATATTCAAAAATTATAGTTATTTTAGTAGTGTAAGAGGATAAATAACCCCGAACTTTATTTTTTTTTTAGGTGAAATTCATCATATTTAATTTTATGAAATTATAAAAAAGATAATATTGCATTGAAATCAAAGTAATTCTTAACATAATAAAGCTACCTTAATCCGACTTCAAAAAAGGAAGGAGGTTCTCAATTCGTCGGAATACATATATTTTTTAATGTATGTTCAGCGATAATTTTCTTCAACGTTCAACGTTGTCCGATTTATATGATTTTTTGTTAGAAAGGAGATATCTCTGGTACCATATAAATTTGGAAAGGGGATCCATGAGAATATCATCAAACTCTTAATTTTTTATGTATAGGTAGCGATAATTTTTTACCAGTTTGTCCGATTTCTATAATTCTTTTTTATTAGAAAGGGTATACCTCGTAAGTAGTCACATACACATTTGGTCAAGATCTGATATTACGATCTATGAGAAAATCAGAAAACTCAATGAATGGCATTTGCACGATTTTGAAGTCGGTTTCTTAAACTTACTTTTATAACTTGTTTGTATTCAATGAAACTTCTATAATTATATTCTTGTTAGGCATCTATAAAATATTTAATAAATTCGAAAATAAGTTTTTTTATTGTCTAACAAGATTTAACTGAAAAAAAAAACACACATACTATGTACATTATGAAAAATGGCGATTCAGCGATTGTTGACAAAATTGATATTTTCGATGAATGTGGTTCAGGTTTGACAGTTAAAATGAGTGTACAGAGAATTTCGCACGTAGATTTTACTTTTTTTTCCTAACTTGACAATAACATTATATTCACAAAAACAATTATTCGAAGTATCACTTGCTGTGACGAAGATATTGCAGTGTTTTGTGCACTCACTGAAAAATAAAAAAAAATAGAAAATAACATTAAGGTAATTTAGTTTGCAGTTTATAATATTGTAATTTCATGCTTGTTGGAAAAGAACTCAGTACCGAAATGATTTTTTATAGGATTTTATGGACCTAATATAAGGAAAACTCTCTTGTCAAATAATATTCCGATGTGTAAAAGAGAATATAAACCCCTTTTTTACATACTATATCACTGACTTAACCCTAAATAGAAGAGAACTCAAAAGAAATTCCTGAAAAAATTCAAAAATATAAACCTGATGTGGTAGAAACTGACAGGGGTGTAATCATGTGGACTCGATCTCTCAGTAAAACGTGTTTTATAAGCACTATAGAATATATAATGAAAATTATAGAAGAGTAGGAAGCGACAGATTGATTCATCTCAACACCACCCCTTCTTAAACAAAACAAGACTTAGAGGGTAGAATACACTAAAGATCGTTGAACATAAACACTGGCAATAGTGCCAGTGTAGTCCAAGCTGAGTTAATAAACATTCTTATAGCAGCAAAAAAGTTACTAGCAACAATGCACTTGAATAAACATTCTCTTCTCTAATACTGACAGCAGAAAACACTACTCATCCTGGAAATACCGCTTTTATATTCAAAGTTGGTACTAGAATATCATCAACCCTTAATCGAAGTATACATTACCTTAAGATGGATCAAAGGCCACATCAAAAGGTAACCGTCTGGATGATTTATCAGCAAATCAGGCAGCCATCCAAAGACTTTCTGGACCTGGTCCTTTCACTGAACTAATAATATCGTTAATGACAAATATAATTAAAAAAACTGGAATATAGAAGTGAAACCTGCATTTCAATAAATAAAATGATAATTTTTTAACCATCATAGTCTTCATCGATGATTTCCTGACCTTCAAGTAGTTAATGATTTAACAATTTTTCAAAGCTCTTTATGTAAGAATATGGAAAAACACTTTTACGTCTCAATAAATTGAATTGTTTGTTATTGGGGTAATATTTTCTAACTTCATCCAGAGAATCCAAAGTTTTACGGAGTTTATCAGAAGATATTTGTCAAAAAAACAAAAAGATTCTACCAATCTCAGTTAAATATAGGAATCGCAAACTTTTTAACCAAAATAGATTTGGAAAAAAACTTATTTCTCCATTATTTGCACTATTGCAAAACAGAGTCGCCTTTGGTCTTCAGTTTTATTTTTTAATAAACAAATGCTCTTCGTAGCTGTTAAGATTATGAAAAAACGCTGGTATAAAATTTTGAACTTTATAATTCAAATTGCAGAAATCCTGTTCAGATGGAAATCACATCGAACTTTTTTGTTGGATGCATTAAAAGATGGTGGCATTATCATATGCATCTTGTCCTTCATGGAGAAGTGGTTACATGACTTTAACATGCTTGAAATAGGTTATGGAGAGTCTCATATATTTCATCTCCCTGGGGAAATCTTCAAAGGGCTGTTATGAAAAAACACTGGTATATAATTTGAAACTTTATGATTCAAATTACAGAAATCATGTACGGATAGAAATCACATCGAACTTTTTTGTTGAATGCATTAAATGATGGTGGCATTATCATATGTATCTTGTACTTCTTGGAGAAGTAGTTATTTATGGAGTGTCTCATCTATTTCAATCTCCTTGGTGAAATCTTTAAAGGGCTGTGATGAAACAATTAGCTGATGGGAAGCTCAGTATCCTTATAACTCTACATCAAATACTTTACTATGACGACATATTCTGTGTATTATCATAGGTATTCTGGCTGGTCAATGTAACGTTCAAAAGCACCTTTCGAAGTTGTCAGACACCTAACTATGTAGATAGGACTGTCAAGCATATCCTCTAAGATTGCTGGACGCTGTCAAATATTAAGAGACTTGTATTTGGTACTACCGGCCAATATCGTAGAAATTATCAGTTATACATTAAATCTGTTTCGGAATAGGCTGTGACGCAGACAATGTTGATTCAATGCAAAAAAAAATCAGGCAAATAAAGTTTCTTAATAAAACGCAAATATAAATATAATTTGATGGAGTTTTTACCTCTTTCTGGGACGGGTTCGCGGACGCTGCCTAACTTGAGCACAGCCTCTTCATGGTAGACATTTTCAACGTCTGCAACGCACCGGAGGACGAGTCTTCCCCCACTGAAGTGTTCTTCGTAAAGCCTTATCACCAACGACAGATCGCTCCATTCGGATTTCTGGTAATGGTGTGGTAGTAATGGTTCACTTCTCGCTACCTGAAATTAAATAAATACGTGTTTATCCAATAGATGGAATAAGTGAATGAGATAAATTACTAGAAATTTTTACCATATAATTTTTTTATTATGATTTATTGGTTACCGCTTTAGACCAAATGGCCATTATCAACCTTTATTACAATTCAAAATTATTGTAAGTCATACATTGTCCAATGTAGTAGTTTGTGCAACAAGAGTGGATATGATGGCCATGTCGCACGAAGCCTAAGTATTAGCAAGACGCCATAAGCGGAATGCTAAATCGTCTGAGTGCCATACGAGTTGTATAGTATATTTTTTCTACGACTCACTAACGAAAATCTAAAAATTTTAAATTTATTTTAAGTTATTCAGATAAAATACTGATTTAAAATAATTTTAATAATATTAACTACATTTTAATAATTTATGTACCAAAAAAATTTAATTATTCTTCAGTCCTACAATTAAAGCTGGGGCCTCTGCGTAAAAGCCACCTGTCCTATAATCCAGTTATATTAGTCAAAATAGGGCAACTATCTCGAAAACATAGACGTCAGGTATAAACTTGTATAAATCTTTATTTTGGCACCGCAAAACCTACTTATCGTAGGGTGTTCGCTACTACAGATATCTAAGGTCAAAGGTCAAAAAATCGATTGTTTTGCAAATGTTTCGTTTCCTATGAGTTTTATGCTATTTTTATTTATTATAAATATTTTAGAGGATTAAATTCTCTACAACTTTTGTTTAAACTTTTTTTCATATCTTGAACCGTTTTCGATATAGAGGGCAGAGAGCACACAGTGTTGAACTATTTAGAGTATCATTCGAGGTCAACCGTTAGTCCGGATTAAAAACACGCCGTATAAAGTCTATAAATTTTATATTTTTTCAAAACATTGTTGCTTTTGGCAGAAAATAGTAAATTTGTGTCATTTTCATATGATGTAACAAAGGCATCCGAAATAATTAGGGGTAAATTGTTTACATACAATATAAACAGGACTGGTCCCAAAATGGATCCCTGAGGTACCTCCATGTTATTAGGAAGTTCAGATGAGTAGTAGTTTTATCATCAGTTTTTTATTTTAACTTTTTGTTATCTTCCTGTCAAATAGGAATCAAACAAATTATGTACACTACCTCTGATACCATATCTGTAAATAGAATATTCCAATTATGTTTTCACCATAATCAACGGCATTCAGAACCTTGTCGTAAAAAAAGATGTTATTGCTGTTTGAGTAGAGTGGTTATTACGAAAACCATGTTGATTATCTATTATAATCCTATAGATATAACAGATGGTACTGATATTGGTGGATAGTTTGAAAGATCCTTAGGATCATTTTGATTATAAATAAGTGATACTAGAGAAACCTTCATTTTAGAGGGAAATTTTCCATCTAGAAAAGATGAATTTATTATATCTGTAAGAGGAGTTAATACAAAGTGTGTAATTTTTTAATTATAATGCCAGAACCTTGTAAAAATTATCAAAGTCATAGGACGTTTCAAAGATAGTACCTGAATACGGATAAAGCATGGGAATATAATAGACCAAAAAAAGGCAGTCTTCTAGGATAAATATAATCCTACCTGCTTATAACCGATAAAGATATGAAACACAGTTCTACCAATCATCCCTTTATCGATTTTGTAAATCCTACAATAGGCTGTTAGATTTAATTAATCTTGCTTTGTTCTATTTCTTAGTGACTGTATGTACAATACTAAATTATATTAAGTAATTATTAAATTTTGTTATCAATAATTGCTAAGACTTTTACAAAATTCATTTTAGACCAGATATTTAAAAACTTCTCTACGTATTATAAATTATTAATTATGTTCCTTATTTTTTTTTATGCGTGTGTGATTCAGTTTTCCTTGTCTGCACAAGTTTTTCAAAAATTACAGAATTCAAATTAAATTAAAATAAAAATACAACATAACTCATGCATTTAAAAATTCAAAAGTCTGTAACGCAAGATATAGTCAGTATTCTTATTTATTTGATCGGTATTAAAATTTATGACGCTTGAATAATTTATTATACAATAAATTCGAACGGCGAAATTGAAATTGAAATATTTTGAGATGAACATAAAACGGAGAAATAATTTTGTCTAAAAACAGGTAAATATTTTTTAAACGGTTTTATGAGTTCTTACATAAAAAGAAGATTTGAATAGTGATGGTAAAAACCTGGGTAAAAACTCTGGGTAACTATCCGAGTAAATACTCAAAAGTCATAAATATCCGGGTTGTATATAAAAACCTTTTAATATATTTTTTTTCTTTTATAATTGAGTGTATTTAAAAAGCACATAACCATAGTTGAATTGCTTAACAAAACCTTGTAAAACAAGTTTTGCTTTTATTTTGGTTACAGCTAACTAGTAAAGAGTCAAGTTTTTTAAGTGGAAATTTAATTGGTTTATTATTGTCCCAATTTTACTCCGTAAACTATAATTTTAATAACAATATAGTATTTTTTTAACTAGAGAATTACAATACAAGTAAATGCATGATTTCATCAACCGTAAGCGATTATTTTAAATTCTGAACTGAAAGTTGATTTAATATTAATCAGGCTGATTCATCATTGCTCAATATTTCAATATTTTTCTTTCCATATCAGTAGCAATAACAGAAATTGATGAAAATAAAAATTGATGAAAATAAAACTGGAACTACTGGCTCTTCAGTTCTATAATCATCTGTTTGAGCGTGTTTTCTTTTCTTCCTCTTAGAGTTATTAATATTGTGAAGGAGCTGCCAGTTGTAGACCATATACGTTATTTTGGCTTCTCTTTCAGTGGTCAACATGTTTCTTCTCTTGTTGTTAAAAAAGTAAAATTTCTATGGCTGCCGATGTCATGATTCTTATTTTCAGCCAATAGACAAGTATTTCTCAAACCTCTTTACCATATCATAGGGGTTACTTCGTTATCCTTTTTACTAGTAGTGACATCTTCCCAAATGAAAGGTTCCATAGCCCGAATTTTTCTTGTAATCAGCGATGTCTTTTCGAAGGTCAGTGGCTTTCAATCCGATTGTTTGACCAACTTCACAAAAAAAACCTATCTCATCGAGGAGTTGTTAAGAATTTGATTTGGACCAAGCATGTATACAGCTAAGTCAATTTTACTTATCCCAAACTTTCCGCGCTTCTTAATTTGTGCCAAAACTGTTGTGCTCTTAGGTTTGAGCTAGGGTTGAAGCTGGAATCATTTATTCTATAATATACCCCAACTCACTAAACTTACAATATACCTTGTGTATAAGGTGTTTGGGACTCTATTTTAGTTATTAACTCTTTAATTGTATTTAGGATAAGCATAATTTTTTTCACTCTAACCTAGAACACTGCATCATCAATAAGCCTTCTTTTTAAGGTTGTGAAAATCTCTACCTCACCATTAACTGCTAATATTTGTAAAACAGATGAAAGACTGCAGACAAAATTTAACTCTTTGAATTTATTCCTCTGGATTCAATCAAAAACTGCTTTTAAAATGTGGCTATTTTGATCCACCACAAAAGCCATAAATTCCTTGATGCTTGCATACCCTTAAATATCTCTACGAAGAAGGTACAGCAAATACGCAAGGCAGCCAAGTGCAATGATAAACTCATACTTTTCTTTAACTAAAGAAAGGGCAGCACTTAGAGGTATTGTCTGCTAATATAACCATAAACTTTTTCGGATCATACTTTTCTAGCATTTTGATGATAAGATCAGCCAAATACTAAGCGTATGTCTATTTCATTTTGAAAGCTACAAAATCAACAAACAAAGGTTCTAGTTTGGATATTACAGATAGTATCATTCCAAAAATTAATCCATCGACATACTGCAAATGTAAGTGTTTGTATTCTTGCTACTAGCAGGTCACTTCAGTCTGCATTTCTGTGTATTAACCTTTAAGATAAGTACATATATGCGGTACCGAAATAAAAGAAGAGGATGTTCTAATGATCGAAGGCAGCGTTAACACAGCCTACACGAGAAGCAGATTCGAAAGTACACCAATAGTAAACTGCGCGTTCATTATACCCTGGTTTTAGGTATTTATCGGAGCCTCGGGTATTTACCCGGCGCACACATCTATCTATCTATCTGAATTTGGGCGTGATTCAAAGCCCACTTGCACTGAAGCTCTAGGCTTATTGTACCCCTCACAGTTTCTATCCCATCAGATTGATTTTGTTGATGAATTCAAGAATATGTCTGATGGGCGCTTTCGCGATTTCTTCAGGTTCCGGATATTGTACCCTGAAGTACAATTTCCGTACCCATTTAAGGTTCCTACAGAGGTGTAGTCTGTGAATAGGAGTTTTGTCCTCCTCTTCACATATTCTACATAGGGAGTCATCAGATATACCTAAGAGATTTAAGTGTCTTCTAAGGCCGCAGTGTCCCGTAAGGAGTCCTATTACGGCCTTGAGTTCGCTTCTTCTAAGGTTTAGCAGTCGATGTTGTCTGCTCGAGGATGGCCCCTCTATGAATCTTTTGGACTGTCTAAGTCCAGAAAGTTCCAACCGGAGCCTGTGGTGTTCTCTATTTATTTGTTCCTTTAACACCCATTTAACATGTTGGTATGAGATACCATATGTGGGTGCTGGTCCAATAAGAGTTTCCGCTCCCTTCCTTGCTAGGAGATCTGCTTTCTCATTTTCAAATACTCCCTCATGTCCTGGCACCCATTCAAAGGTGACCTTGTTATGTTTTGGCAGGGCCTGGAGAGACTGTTGGCAATTAAATATTAATATAGATTGTACTTCTACCCTTTTTATTGCTTTAAGGGCTGCCTTACTGTCTGTCATGATAAAGATCCTCTCATCTCTAAGAGAGTCATTTAGCATGACTTTGGGGCAGGCATTTATTGCTGTTACTTTAGCTTGGAAGACTGTTGTCATTGACCCCAGTTTCAAACTAATTGTCCTCCCTAAGTTCACATGGTAGATCCTAGCTCCTGTGCTGTTTTTCATTTTTAAACCGTCTGTATACCAGATTGATTCGTTTTGTTTTTCCCTATTTTCCCGGCTTTTTGGCCCTTTCTATCCGATGGCATTCTTAGTACCAGATTTTGTTTTCATTTCTCTAATATCATTGTGTGGTGTCTTTTTCTCGAAAGTTTCCATCCAAATCCATTAGTATGCCGTTGCCATATTCTCCTCCTCCACCACGAGGTATAGTGGATGAAGACCTGGCAGTAGCTCCATTGCTGCTGTGGGCGTAATTCTAAATGCCCCTATTAGTATTAGACAGGCTAGTCTTTGCACTGTCTTATTTTCCGTTAGTTGTTATGCTTTTAGTCTTGTACCACCGTATGACTGATCAGTAAGTTATAACGGGTACTACAACCATAGTGTAAAGCGTCCACATCACTAGATGTAAATTAATAAAGGAGCAATGCAATGAGATTTGCTATTTACCATGCTATTTAATCACTCACTAGAATAGGTGACTGTAAGTAGCAGGAAATCAGAATCTCAGTAATTAAATGATAATTTTATTTTAAAATTTGAAAAGCGTTATATAAAAATTGTTGTGTCAAAGGTACGTCTTGTCTTGTTAATTTCGAAATCAGTAATCAATCAATTTTTTGTTTCCTTTTTCCATGGTTACCATCATTATAATGGTACCATCTGACATTGACACTTGACCAACCTCAAATAAAAACTGACTAAGAAACCTTAAAATAAATTGACGTAAAAGTCAAAACTAAAAATAAGGCTACGTGGTGCTATGATGTCGCCACAGTGACGAGGAAAATTAATAGAGAAGCGAGGAAGGAGTAAGGGAAGGACATTATTGCATACGCAGATGATATAAGAAACAAAACAATAAACATGAAAAGTATTTGAACAAAATTATGAAATTAAATGACAAAGCAAGGTCAAAAAGTATTAAAATTGAAATATGTTAATTCGAAAAAGTAGAAAAGTTTAAATATTTAAAAATCACAATAGCTCGAACTAGAGACAGTAAATTTGAAATAAAATACAAAAAAAAAACGAACATAAAGATATACAACACAGTAAGTAGACCATTCTTACTATACGCTGCAGATACAAAGAATATGACAAAAAAGAAGAAAACAAATCTAAAAGAAGTCATTATAGTAGAAATAATAAAAATTAAAGTTTATTTATTGATACAATGGATCTTGGGAGAGAGAAAGAGATATGTAAGATCCAAATCTGGATAACAAATAGAAGTTAAAGAATATTTACATTAAGTAGGAGTGAATAATTGCCAAGGAAAATTACAGGGTATAGAGAAATGGAGGAATATTGTCAAGAGTATTTTCTAAGAAACTAGCATTGGTCTACGCCTATTAGGGATCTAAAGTGCGAATAGGTACTTATCCCCACTTCAAAACTAAATACTGCTCTCATTTCTCTCTGTACCTCTCTCAGAGCGATAATGACATAAGCGAAGCTCATTATGGACTATGGACTTAAGTCAAAAATTACACAATGCTTTTAAACTTTACAATATTTATTTTGGTAAATTTTGCAAATTTGGCCAATTTTCCAATTTTATCAATTTTGAATATTTTGATAATTTTATCATATTGTCCAAATCATTACAAGTAAAGTCAATTAATTAAAATGTTTAATTAATCTAAAAATTATACTTTGCTGATCTATAAGACTATTTACTTGTATAATATAGTTTAAATTATTAATTCTACTGACTCCTTTTTTTGACATTTTGTGGATTTAATTTTTTATTTCGTAACATAATAATTATGGTTTATACTATACTGGCGAAATCCATGCAATAAAAATTATTGTCAAAAGAAATTAATTACGTGGTGAGTTAATAATGTTCTTACCGTATAGTTATTGAGAAAAAACGTCAAGCTCGCTCTGGGCCTTGCTGGAGGACTGGAGCAGTTAGCCCGTAATATATCCCCATAGTCTAGGGGTTCACCGAAAACGCTGATTGTTGGAGCGGTCTCCGGTGTTTCTGAAACAAGAAGAAATAATGAATTAACTATGCTACAAGTCATCTTAACAACCTGGATTGGATTTAACGTAAAATGAGAAAATAAAAAGATCAAAACTTAAAAAATTTATTGATCAATATAGCATGAATCGGTGTAGTAGTGATCCAATCACCCTTATAATTAGTTATCGACCAAATATATTGGATGAAATAGATACGTTTGTTTACTTTATGTTAATCCGCAACATAATCCTGCAAATATATTTACATGTTATAAGATCTTTTCCTTCAAAAAGTTTAATGTCATTTTCCATTAAAACAAAAAGATTCAAAAATAAAGAATTAAAAGTAGAAAGTTTTATTTATTACAATTACCTAAGATTTTAGTTTAACGTTTTTCATATGGGGTAAATTAAATACTCTTGAATGGATTGTGCTATATCACAAATCTTTAAATGTTGTTCTCTGCGATCCGATTTATATTTAATAGATTGATATGGTTCAACTACTTCGCAACATTCGCAAAAATCAGGTCTGCACTTTTCGTAAGAACACATGGTATATCCTAATAAAAGCAATTATTAAAAAAATAGTGAGCAATTAACAAACCGAAAAGGAAAGTTACATGTAAAAAATATTTAACAATTTTAATTACAAGGAATAATTATTAACAATTTTTAAAAGAGTATAATTAAGGAATAACAAAATGTTAATACCTGACAATCGATTTCTATTTAATTAAATTAATTAAAAATTAATTGTAACCCATAGGCAGAATTACCCACTTGACCATTTACTGTTGGATTCTAATTAACTCCTAGCGCACGGAAGAAACCTATGTCCAGGTTCGGGGTACCTGTGCTGTATTAGTCGGAATCTTCCAGTAGTTGCCACCATAGTATAAAGAAACTGTTTTAAAACAAAATTTTTGTTCTCCGACGAACAGTTGTCAGAAAACATGTTTATATCACTTACTTCTTCTTTAATGTAGATATAAAGAAAATGATGTAGCAGACTGGCTATATCATTTTGTCCTTTGGCAGCCACTGTTTCATCATACACATAAAAAAAACTTTTCTTAGTACTTCCTACATCGACACAAAAATTATATACCCAAAGTTAGATTTTGTAGAACACTTCTCCACTGGAGGAAACAGGAACGGGCAAATTTTGTTGAAAATCAAATGTCAACAATTCTCTTGGGTCGTTTTGTGCTAAAGCTGTTTTATCTTTAATGTCTATAGTCTATATAGAAAGCTTTGGCTTTTTTAATATGCAATTTTTTGTCTGTCTCCAACTGTGTCTTTTGTTCTTCGTTGTCAGCGGCGTTAATTTTATTCATTAGTTTGTCACATTTTTGGTATGTGTCCGACTTTGGTTTACCAAAAGACATTTTAAAATTTTTCCGTAAAAATTTCTATATTATTTATATTTTACAATAGGTTTGATATTTTGATTTTCATGAAGTAACTGTTCAGGTTCATATTTCTGTGGGTACATGTGATGCATTTTGGCAATACTAAGGAGAGGTGATAGCTAATAGTGGTTCAATTTGTCTTTTAGACTATAATGTGATTTATATTTTGGATAACTAAGAATTGCTCACGTATTTTATTATCAGTGCCTTCAGGTAATTTATTAGGCCTGAATACATGCTTTCCTCTGCTATCTATAGGAGGAACTCCCTGTCTCATATTTAGGCGCTTCTGCAATCGCTCGAGTCTGCTTTTGTGATTCTATAAAGAGAGAGGAATGTTATTTCACAAATTTTCCTCATCAAACCATTGCAGCGAATCTGAAATAATACCACGACGTTAAAATAAATAAATGATTTTATATTGCAAGTAATAAATTACCTTGTAAGTAAATGTTGAATTTTTTTTATTTCCAACACCGAAACGTGGTCTAGCTCTCTGTACTTGTATCTTGAAAATATTGCCATACAAATATGCATTATGCAGATCTTTTGATTTCATAGCACAAAAATCACGAAATATTGTTTCACAAGTTTCTTGTCCAATTTCATCAAAACACTTTAGTTTACAGTGGCAGTTACTACCAATATGTTTTCCAGGTTTATGAATACCTACAACTTTTATATAAAGCTTACCCTTTCTTTTTCAACATTGTCTACATACAAGCAGCTTTTTTTCCTCGTTGAGACGTGTTTTCAAGAATTCCAGGTATTTGATAACTTCCATCTTTGGATGTAACACGGACGTCTTCTAACATGATAAGGACAGTTTCAGTGTCTTGAATTTCCTCATCAGAATCATTCGAAGACAAGCTTGTTGAAAGTGGTCTTTGGAGGTTAGGGTTATGTTTGTTATTAGCCGGCACATAATCTTCGTCGCCGTCTGTACCCGTGCCTCCAAAAGGAGCATCTTCCCTTTCACTATTAGATAACATTATTTTTTGAATAAAAACTGATATAATTTAAGAGAGCATCAGCGCGATGTTAATATCAACACGTTTATGTAGCATTTAAGTTTTGACTGACAGCACGGTGCAAAAACCGGTGATGTCCAGGCCAGTTTATGCAAAGTATTAGAGCATAGGCAACCAATTATACACTGCAGTTTTCACAATTTTAATGTTAGAGAGCTGCCTTATGCACTGGGAGATGCAGAATTTATAACTTTGCAATAATATAAACCTAACTTTTTTTTCCCCAGAAAATGGACTTGGCCGGTTTATGCATTGGACCCCTCAATTGATAATTTTCTGAAACGCGAGGTTGGATTCGATATCTTGTGAATGTGTTTTGGGTGGGGGCTGGCATCGGATTCGAAGTCCATTTGCCACAGATTGTTTGTGGTATTATTACAATATATTATATAACTATTTTGGTTTTATATATAAATTGTACTAATAGGTCATATATGTTCTTGTCAAAACTATTAAGAAGAGTGGTAATATTAAGTGGGGGGAATATATTAAAGTTTTTTAGCTCAGATATTAATTGTATTATAGCATTATTATTATTGGAACAGTGGAAGAATAGGTGGTTCAAGTCTGCAATACTTGAATTGTCGCAAGGACAGTAGGGATTCTCTAAAATTCCTATTTTGTTCAGATGATGAGGAAAACGTCCGTGATTTAGTTTAAGTCGCGTTATAATGGTAGAATATGTTCTAGAAGTAGAGAAATAGAGGTTTGGAATATCTTTTGGGAGGGTATGATGTATTAAAAAGTAATGGTTTTTTGATCTGCTAACAAACTCATTATATAAAGCCGACCATTTGTCCCTAATGTCCTTCTTTAGTTTACACAAGATATCATTATTATTAGTAGGAGATTTTGTGATATTTTCAATACTACATGCTTGTTTGGTATCCTCATCTACTATTTCATTTCCTACAATACCTGAGTGGCCTTTAACCCAAATGAACTGTATTTTTATGTTTTTTATTTTGGCATCTTTAATTAGTTCTTTAATTCTAAATATGATTTCATTGTTATAATATTTCAATGGGCATCCTTGTAGAGCTTGTAGTACCGATTTAGAGTCAGATAATATTATAGCTTTCTGAATTGAATTGTTTTTAACCCATTCTAGTGCTTTTTGTACTGCTAAAGCTTCGGCCGTAAATATTGAAGATATGTCTGAAATACGATATTTTTCAATATGATTTGTGGTTGAAACAAAAATTCCGAAACCAGTTCCGATTTTACTTTTGGATCCATCTGTGTATATATTTACGTCATAGTCTATGAATCTATTTAATATTCCTTTCAAGATATCTTATATTTATCTTGATAATTTGAAAATCTCTGACTATGTCAGCGATAGCTTAATTGGAAGAACGAGTGTGCGTAGAACAGAAATGGTGTTACGGTATTAAAATTCGTTATAACGGTTTTTTATAATAATTAAACTTTCGTAATTTCATAGTCAAAATCATTAATTTTATAGCATTACATTATTAATTTGTATTAAATGGTTAGGGTAAGTAATTAAAGTCATTTAAAATTATTATATTTATTTCATTAAATACATATAGTCAACACATCACACTCGATGGGTCATTGTGTGTGGTCTATTATTCAGGGGTATTAGATGTTGTCTATTCAACTAACGAGATTATTCGCAAACATTTTAGCAATTGACCAATGTTGTACTTAATTTTTGGATGGTTAATAAATTGTTAGTAAGGGGTTTAAAATAAGGGTAATTAATAATTTGGGATGTTAAACAAGGGGAGTTAGGTAAAGAAATAGTGTAGAGAATATTTCATGCTGTCAACATATATTTACAAGGGTTTTTGTAAAAATTTTAAATAGGGCTTTGAGTGAGTGAGTCTCTGTTGTTTTATAATTAAAACTAGAAACTTTAAAATTTTTGATGTTGGTACCATTGGGTTCCGTGTCTTTTTTTGTAATATCCGTCTTCCCGAATTTTCTTGAGTTGACTTCATGGTAGTTTCTCATGATGACGGCATATTCGTTAAAAGTGTTTGTGAACTCGGTTCGATGAGGACAAGCCTACTTGGCCAGAAGAGCCACTTGAGGCAACCGCACCGCGGGATTTACTAAGTGGAATTTATTCCAGCCTTTTTAAAAGGGATTTTCATTTTTACGAGCCTCCATCTTCATTATCGAAGAACGTACTTTGGAACTCTGTTCGACGAGGACGTATTACGCTTACTTGGCCTGAAAAGCAACCTGAGGCAAGGGATTTTTATTCTGTTGCTACTAAACGAGACTTCTGGTAAGCCTATTCTAGTATGTTCTTTCTGCATTGTTTTTCTGACTGTACGAAGGTTGATTCTTAATTTGTCTATATTACACAAACGATTTTAAACTGATAATGACTAAAATATACCAGTAATTTAATCAAATATAAATATTTAATTTAATAATAATTAACCGTTTAACTTAATTAATTTAAACAATTTTAATAAAAGTCCAAATAAAATATCATAGTTTAATAAAGTATATCTTTTCATTCGCAATGGCCCTTGAAGCGTAGCAATGGGTGGGTTCGAATCCTCACGCAAGAAAAATGTTTTTAATTTTTC